TTCAGCAAGGAGCTGCAAGGTCCATGCCTGCAGTTCTAGGGGTAACATTTAGTTTTCCCTCAGTCCAGTGAGTGCTCTGAAAACATGCAGCAAATGTAATACACTCGTGCCAAAGAGTCTTAAAATCTTAGCTGACCATTAGGCTACCAGACCGTTCTGGTTCTGGTTGTAGTTGGCTGCCAGCAGTTCATTAACAAAAAATAAAATAAAAATATTTGTATGCGTAAGAGTGTGTAATTGTTCTTTTTTCTTATTATAATTCTTCTCTGGACTTAAAGTCTGTTCATGTTATCAATCATGTACACTTCATTGCCTTTATTGCAACTGGTCTAGAGTCCTTCACTGCATTTTTTTTATCAGTAAAGATTCATACTTCAGTTAAAATCTCCTTTTCTGCAGAAAAACTTAGAGTTTATGTAACTTTTTTTCTATTTGCTTTGAAAGCACCATTTTAGAAATGATGCTCTGGTGTTACAGAAGAGCATGTGCAATGAAAATATTTTCAAACAAAATATTTTGTTTTTCTTGGAAATACTAATGTTATAGTTAATTCCAGATAAAAATTCTGGAACTTTGCATTTTGCAGAAAAATGCGGTGTATTTTTGTTTCTCTTGTGACCAAAACAAAATGTAGAAAAATCAAGGTCTTCAGTGAAAAGGTTATTCTGCCTAGCTCTGTTTTTCTAGGGTTGCACAGAAGTAAACACCTTCCAGACAGCACTTTGAAACTTGCCAAATGATTAACGGAAGAAGTATGAAGAGCCGAGGGCCTGAGCTGGCCAGACATTTGTACCAGGGGCATAAATAGAGCTGAGGTCATTGCCTTGCTCTCCTCCAAGTGTTACCTGTGGTGATGCTGGCAAATGGGACCTAATTCTTCCATGTTTCTTCCTTGTGCTCCAAGGAAAGGGCCTGGGAAGGGCAAAGTTTTAGTAAGACCAAAGTCTCAAATGACAATGGCAGTTGCAAATATGTTTGGTGCCTTCAAAAACAGGTAGCAGTCTGGATGCCTTCCTCAGCACGTCTCTTTGGGCTTCTTCGGGATGCAGCCTTCAGTGTAGCCTCCCTTGTGGGGCAGCACTTCCATGCAGCCCTTCCAGTCTTTACAGACACTTGCATTTTAAAATAAGTTATGTGGGGAAAGTTGGGAAGTCCCACTGGTCTTTGTGACTGATTACAAGGGAAAATAAAGCCCTGAAATCTTTTAGGAATGCACAGCACTTATGCTTCTTGTCAGTGCCTTCAAAGGATACCAACCTGCACTGCTTATTAAGCCACCAAGTCCTGGCTTTTTGGCCTCAGGTATGTCAGGAGTTTTGGTGAGGCACTGATTCAGCACAATAGCTATATATTTAATTAACAAAATTAATTTATTAAATTAATTCATTGTTAAAATTAATGTATAACATTACACATGTGGTTGGTCACATTGATTTTGTGGGCAAGAGTGTCCCAGTGAACAGCCACAGTTCAGCAGAAGGTCCTGAGTTTCTGCTCAAAGTCCCCCTGGCTGCCATGGAACTTGGCATTATTTGATACTAAGCTCACACATGTATAGAACATGTGAAGCAGCACAGACAGTGCAGCACCTTGCACCTCTGAGTGCAATGTAGGTACTGCAAAGAACATCATAATAGGAGATAATAGCTTACTCTTTACTGGGGACCTGTAACTGCAGAGCAGTATCTTACATTCATTGTTGAAGTTAATTGAATTTATAATTTTGAATCATAGAATCACTTAGGTTGGAAGAGACCTTTAAGATCAAGTCCAACCATTAACCCAGCACTGCCAAACCTACCACTAAACCATGTCCCTGAGTGCCACATCTACACGTCTTTTAAATATCCCCAGGGATAGTGACTCAACAGCTTCCCTGGGCAGCCTGTTCCAATGCTTGACAACCCTTTTGGTGAAACCTGCATATGTTTTCTGTTAATGGCTTATAGTCTCAAACAGTTTTTATTCACTGTTATTTAGGAAAAAAAAAAAAGTTGCTTGTAGTCTTTCAGAAAAGTAGCTCATTCTCTGACACATGGGAAACTGATTATCTTCAGGTTTTATTGTAGGGGGTGTGTGTGTCCACAATCAACTGGAAATACTGGAAAGGGTGTAATTTGGAAGTGATTTTAATTTTTATTTATGAAAAAGCTTGATTCTGTGAAATGGCTGGATGGCATTTTGAAAAGCTGCTTTCACTGTAAATCCCTCGCCTGAAAGGAAAGCATTTGGTTTTGGACTTTGCAATGGTTTTTATGCACAGTTTTACACAAGTAACTTGAATCCAAACTAAACATATTGAAGTTACTTCTGTGTGTGAGCTACATTTTCATGATGGTAATGTTAGGATGTTTCTTTTGTTAGCTCATGTAAAAGTTAATGCCTGTGCTCTGCCAAGTTTGGAGTAGGGTAATGATTTTTTTTTCTGCCTGTGTGTGTTTGTGTTTTTCACTGGAGCTGGCATCCCCATCAGCTTAAGTAGTGGAAAAGTTTGTGCCTGACACTTACAACCTTTTGTAGGTAGGGACAGGGTGTGTTTGCTCCTCATGCATGCCTTCCATCACTGGTAGTGAGAGTCCGTAGCAGTGCCTACAGAAACACTCACTGCTAAGGGTGACTCAACAGCTCCCTTTCCAGCTCCCTCCTGCTTCCCAGCTCCACACCCACCCTGCCCAGAGGCTGGGAGGAAGGAGCTTCTCACCAGCCTCACCACTCCTGCAATTGGCTCCAACCCACCATAAGGTCACAAAATACTCACAGGGTCTCTTCAGCACTTTATGTCTGGAGCATTTTAAAGTAGGCTTCTGTGAGTGAACTGATTTACTGTTAAAAGTAAATTAATTTACAATTAGAAGAATATAGGGAAGGGATATCATTAAGTAATTCACAGGTGCAAAGGTGTTGACCTGGATGGTGTTAATGTAGGTGGCTTTCACACCCCTCTCCTCCTGGTAAATCCTTACCTGATGAAGTGCCTGAGTGCTCTCCCTTAGTATGTCATCAAACACTCGAAGTTACAAACCAAAGTAACAGCTCAACCAGCCTTTCAACCAAGTGGCAATTCACAGCCAATGCCAGCAACCCTAAAGAAAGAGGTATATATATATATATATATATATAGGTCCTCCTTCCCCTCTACTCTGCCCTGGTGAGACCTCATCTGGAATATTGTGTCCAGTTCTGGGCCCCTCAGTTTAAAAAGGACAGGGACCTGCTGGAGAGAGTCCAGCGCAGGGCAACTAAGATGATTAAGGGAGTGGAGCATCTCCCTTATGAGGAAAGACTGAGGGAGCTGGGTCTCTATAGTTTGGAGAAGAGGAGATTGAGGGGTGACCTTATTAGTGTATATAAATATATTAAGGGGGAGTGTCACGAGGATGGAGCCAGGCTCTTCTCAGTGGCAAACAATGAAAGGACAAGGGGTAATGTAAAATTGGAGCAAGAGGTTCCACTTAAACCTGAGAAGAAACTTCTTCTCAGTGAGGTGACGGAACACTGGAACAGGCTGCCCGGGGAGTTGTGGAATCTCCTTCTTTGGAGACATTCAAGACCCGCCTGGACACGTTCCTGTGTAACCTTATCTAGGTGTTCCTGCTCCGGCAGGGGGATTGGACTAGATGATCTTTTGAGGTCCCTTCCAATCTCTAACCTACTGTGATACTGTGATACTGTGATATATGCAGATACACATATGCAGTTAATGAACTCCTGCTGATTGACATTGCAGAATCAGTGTGGGCAATGTCAGCCCTTCTGTTTTCAGTGGAGGCACCCTCTTCTCTGGGTTCATACCAAAAGAATCTTTCTTTCCAGCATTGAGATTGGCTGGGAGGGTTTTGCCCTTCCTGAAAGAATCTTTTTTCATTGCCAATGAAATTGTTGAAGTACCTGCTTTACTTAAAATGTTATCTAATGGCAGTGGTGTCACATTTATACCTCATACTGTATTAGCACGCAGAACTTGGTGGCATTTGGGATGGAGTTGCTTCTTTACATTGATCTGTATGACCACCCTGAAACTCTACAGCTGAGAGTATGGAGGGATTTTTGTCTTGGTCAGTTTATCTTTACAGTAATGTTATTCCCGTTGCTTCACCACAGTTAAATTCTGAGGTACTCCAGTACTGCAGAGGAGAACAATCAGTATGTGGATGTTTATGTTGCCCTATCCCACCAATATGTGGAGTCAAGCGTGCTTCTGCTTAGATAGTCTTATACCAGATGATCTTACACCAAGATTTGAGCTTACTACTTGGAGCACGTCTTGAGTTTTTAACATCCTCTTGGGAAGCATTTAGTACATGTAGTACCAAGAAAGTGACAAGTAAAAGTGGGTACAGACTCTGTGATCGTGGCACCTGCTTCTTAATTGTCTGGTTGATGCAACATAATTGGAATGACTCAATGGCAAGGTTGTGGGATTTAGTTTGGGGTTGTTGTTTTTCTGTAGTAGCCAAAGCATTAAGCAGAGCAGGGTGGTTTAATACTAAAACAACCTGGATCTGATTGCAGAACAGTTAAAGAATTCCTGAGGGTTACATACTTTTTTATTTAGTCAATATTTTACATAATATTTATGGGATTTGAATGATGAATTTAGGTTATGATGGATAATAAAGCAAGCTCATAGAAGACTGATTTAACTCGGGAATTGCACTTTTCACGCAGAATACAAATAGGGATTTGTCCTGATTTCCAGTTGGTTTCTGCCCATCATGCTGTGAATTTATTTTTTTTTTTTTGTAAATGTAGGCTTTAAAAAAGTTATTTTTTTTCAATGCAGATAACAAAACCAAACAGAAATTAATTGAGAGAAAATACTTCCAAAGATACAGTTTGAGGTCATGCATGTGTACTAGAAAGAACATGATTGCTGAAATCTTTGTGTTAGTAAGGGGGGGAAATGAAAGCTCCTTTTATTTTATTTTTTCTCTAGTCTTCTGTCATTAAAATCTGGTTCTAACAGCAGAATACTTCTCTTTTTCATGTGTGTTGAAAAGCAGCTACACCATGTATCAAAGCCATCAGTCCAAGTGAAGGATGGACTACAGGAGGTGCCACTGTCATCATCATAGGAGACAATTTCTTTGATGGGTTACAGGTCATATTCGGCACCATGCTGGTTTGGAGTGAGGTAGGTGTTGTCTGAACGGTAATGTCTAATAGCTTTGTCTAGCTTACAGCTAGCCTGTCCTTTTTTTATGCTACATGCTAAATCAGCAGCAAATGTTGAGATGTGAATCCTTTCCTCATTCAGTTTTATGAAAATAATTAGTCAAATTTACCTGTGGCAGAAATCCATTATAAGCCAGGGGATTTGCATCTCCTCTCGCTGCCCCTGAATTTAGCTCAGTGTCTTTTATTCCAAGAAAAGGGAAGGATAAATGCCTGTGTGAATAATTCTGCATTTAGCACTATAGCTAAGGGCCCACAGGAAACAAACGTTTAGGTGATCCTGCTTTTCAGGGAAACTGGCTGCTTGTAGCTGCACCTCAATGAGGTGGAGATTGCAGAAATTCAGTGCTTATGAATAGCATATCCTTAAAGTGCAGGTGCTTGGTGTAAGCATAATTTTCATAATAGCAACCAAATACACAGTGTCGTGTCCACAGTGGAAAGTAGATTTATCGTACCTAGTGGGGTCCTCTGTAGTTTCACAGTATCCCCTTTTTTGTTCCTTATCCATTTTTTTGTGGTACCTCTTCCTCCCAGTTTCTTAAATCCTCTCTTCGGACACATAAATAAATGTGGAGTCTGATATTCCCCAAAGCCTGTAGAAAGCAGCATCTGAACAGCCACTTCCAGTGTTACAGGGCCATAGAAGTCAGGGCAGAGTTCCCACTGGCTTCACTGGCACAGGAGGGCAGCTCCAAGGAAAGGTTCATGTTTTGGATTTATGGCTTTCCAAAAGTATTTTTGAGGTTTTATAAGAAATTGTTATTTTCATTATTTCAATACTCAAACACACTAACAGACAAAATAGTATCTTTGAAATACCTGTACTATGCTTACCTTACGTAAGGATCATCTGATGCTTTATGTTATATCCTGTAAATATTAAATCAACAATCTAGATTAATTCATATCCAGCACATTCCCCCTAATGATTCCATTGCACGTATGGCAGCATTTTTTCCATATGAAGAGTATTTTCTAACGTCGTTCATGGGCTTCACTGTTCTCTCTTTCTCCCCCCTCCCTCTCTTTCTCCCTCTCCCTTTCTCATCCTTCCACTTAAGAACAAGTGTGGATGAAAGGGCATTCCAGAAAAGGAGATATATTAAGTGAGCCCTATTCTGAAGCCCTTATGTGATCATGAAAGTGCCCCCTGGGTCCAGTGTAAGCATTTTGTGTGTTAGGATTAAAGCCATTATGGCTACAGACATTTAACAGGGAAAAGTGAAGAGGCTGGGAGGAAAATGCTCTGATTTTGGTACTGCAGACTTGGATCTTTCATTATAAATTTTTATTCTATTTATCAGTGGAATCCATTAATTGGCAATTTCTAATCTCAGGAGAGTAAGTGGTGGTCAAAATGTTGCTGGTAGTTGCAAGGCCTTGTCATAAAATGAATAGTGTTAGAGGGGGTCCAAACCAAAGCCAGTCTGTTGTGAATGCTATAACATTCACAGTTGCAAGTTTACTTTGAGTGAGAGCTGTTTCACTATCTTTCACTTACAGAATTGCTTCCCAGTTTCATAACCTATGAGAGAAATAAAATATCCTATGGGCGGGGGGGGGAGAATCTTTCTGAAAGAAGCAGACAAACGTGCAGAAATGCATGAGCTGTCTGAGTGATCCCTAAATAATAGTGATCTTTAAATAATTCAGATTGCACATACTAGCCACCTATGAAGTACAAAATAAGTTCTTTCATTTGCCTTCCCACTTCTAAAAATATTGCATTTTCAGTCCCCAGGAAGAATATTTCTGTTTTACTTTAGTAGAGTGTAGACTTGAACTGCTGATCCGAATTTCAGTACCATTTCAAACCCAAGGCAGCTTCATCTTGAGTAGCCAGTCAGGCCCAGTTTTGAGTGAACCTGGCCAGGTTATTTTGTCATTGAATTCAAGAAGACTTTTCAAGTTCATCCTGTTGTTTCATGGATCCAAATGAAACATGATTTTAACTAAGCTGCAGAAAAGCTAAAGAAAAAGAGTGAATCTTGTAGTGTTTTCACATGGATTTTTCTAGCTTCACTTTCAGTTATAATTGCAGGTGGTTTGGGGGATGAAGTCTAATATTTAAATTAAGCATCATTTTGCCACAGGCTTTGCATGGGACCTTGGACAAATCACATAATCTGCTTAAAGTTCAATTCCCTTTCTCTGACATAGTAATAAGATTAGTCATCTTCTTTGGAAAGGTGCTGTGAAGACAATTATCATAAAGTTTTTATATTACTCAGACTTTGTTGTAGTGAAATCCATGTAAGTACCCAAGATGCACAGACACTTAAAATATAAATCATACCATGGTTGAGAAGCAAAGTTTAAAGCCAAAAAGAAATATTCATTTTAAGGGTGAATTTGTTGCTGTCAAGCAGCATATGTTATAAATAATTTGAAATGTAAATAATATATTTTTAATTTATTTTACATGTATTTAAGTTTCGTAATTGAAATATTTATATGCTTGAAATGGAGTTGACTGTGTTAAAAAAAGGAGGTTTAAAATGGTTTCTGAAACACATATTTATTATTCAAACATATATTTTAGCTGTAAACACTCTAACATAATTGCAACCTTTCCCAGCCAGAGAGAACTAAATAAAAACTTAATTTGTTACATTAATTTTGTGAAGAAATGCAGATACCCTAAGCCAGTAAGTTCAATTAATCCTTAACTCCCATATTACTTTATAAAAATGACTTTGAGAGCCCTCAATATTTTTAGAGTACAGGAAAATGGGCTATCTAGTGCCTTTTTTTCAAGGGACTTTCATAACTGACCAACAAATGGCATTGGTATATCATGTGCACATGCTGAATCTGGACAGGCCACTCCCAGCAAATAGTCTGTTTGCCAGACAGACTCTGCCTCTCTGTTTGTCCAGTCCACAGACACAGAGAGTTGTTATTTGCAGGTTTTTACCCAGTGTTCTGTGTCTGTGCGTTGTTGCTAATGCTCCAAATTGGAGATGAAGATAAAAATCCCCTGTTGTTTGTCTCACTTACTGGGGGGCTGAAGCTCCAAGAGTCAAGTTTCAGGGCAAATACATGATTGTGAAGACAAAATTAGTTTCTTATAAATATTCACAATATTTGCTTAAAATGAACTATTTCTTCAAACATTTTCCTGCCAAGAACATTCCTCCAGCTGTACAGAGTCAGCTGGAAACAACTTCTTTTTCTTTTATACTAAGAAAAGATGAAGCACTGAAACATCATTTTTTTTACCTTTGTACAGCACAAAACAAGAAGATTATTTTTTTTTTGGTTGGTGGGGTTTTGTTGGGTTTGGGGTTTATTTTATTTATTTTATGCTGCTGAATCAAATTCTGTAACACAGTTTTTTATTTTGCTTTTTATGTTTATTATTGATTTTGGAAGTCTCTGTTTTTGCGTTCTTATTTTGGAGGTCTGACTCATTTTTAAAAAATGAGTGGCACCCTCTTTTTGAAACCCAAGGCTTATTAAGCAGCCTCCGGATCCCCAGAACTGAGGCATGTGAAGTCACTGGTCATGTTTTAAAATATACGTACTGGATGGGTCCTGTTCTCACTGAAAACTGTCATTGCCTTCAGTTGGTGGGTTTCTTCATTTCTTCATTCCTGTCCTAGGTCCTCTTCACACAGAGTCCAAGTTAAATTTATGACTGTCACCGTTTCCCTAACCACAAACCAGAGCTCAAGCAAGCAAAAATAAACTAGTGACTCAGATTAATGACATCTCCTTATAAAATGTCACTTTTAAAAAAGGAAAGTAACCTGGCATTCTGAGGAGTGTGAAATGATGCTGTATCATACAAGAATGTCTAGAATATATTAGCAAACCACAGAAAGAGGCTTGTTTTACGCACTCAAATCAAATATGTTTTGGATTTTGAAGGACATGCACCTCCCTCCCTTGTGAGGATCTCTAACTCAGGTTTTAATGCAATCCACAGCATGCCCCAACTGTCGTGTAAGAGTTTATATCAAACAGCTAATGCAATTTCCAAGATCAGACAAATTTGCTTGAAAATCCCTGGGAGAAAGGGTACAATTACTAGTCTGTGTCCAGCTCCAGATCTTAATTTGCCAAATGCTGGAATGGAAGAGGAAGTTGGATCTGGGATTTTTTGACCAGTGGGTTCGTGTCCAAATCACAGGCTAATGCCTTGCTCAAGATTTACATTTTTAAAATGCAGTCAGAAATGTATGTCAGCTTCTATTTATAAGTTCTAGGTTCTTGGCATGTCATTGCTACAATTGTTTTGATTGCTGTTAATGCACCAAAAGTTCCCACCTGAGGTCAGAACATCTTGAGTTGACAGTGCCAATGACAGCTGTCTATAAAAACAACAGGGTGAACATGCCATGATGCTTCCCCACGACTATCAGTCTCCAACTGTTTGGGTTACAGAGGCTTTCAGGAATGTTGTCTTTACTTCTAATATTCCTCGATGCTAATAGCTCACCTCTTCCAGATGATTTACCTGCAAATATGAGGCAGACTGCCTTGAATAAGGTACAGGGTATATCAGTGTGAGAGGAGAAAACATGGGGAGTAGATCCCCAAGTTCAGGCTGCAGGTTGACAATGTAGAAAGGGAAACATCCCATAATCCTGGAGTTATCAAAGTTGGGGGTAGATTTGACATAGGTGGGCATGGAGTACCCAGACCTGTGTAGTATCCATTGGGTTATTCAAATTGCAAAACAGGGAGAGCTGGTCCTGCTCCACAGCACAGATCCTGGCAGCACTGGGGAATCAGAGTTCAAGACCAAAGGTGGGCTTCTGAAGGCAGGTTTCAATGTGCAAGAGGAGATTTTCTGTTAAAGACAATTCCTTGATGTGACAGCAATATAGGGGACTACTGGTATGTAACTGAGCTAGCCAGTTCCTTTTTGTGTGCATGAGAACTGAAGGCTGACCCAGAACAAAGGTTCTTCTAGCTCAGCACTCTATCACTGACAGTGGCCAGTGCCAGATGCTAAGGAGAAAAAGCAAAAGTAAAAGGCATGTGTGTTCTTCTGGTATGTTTCCCAAGTTTTAGTTCTAGAAAAGAGAGGGGCAAAATACATCCTGAGCATCCTAAACCATAAGACTTCAGACATAATGTTCATCCTTTGGGAATGTGTGGGCGACATTATTGTATATTTGTGGTTTTAAACACAGTTAAACTTATTTACTTCAGCGCACAAAGGAAAACCAAACTGTTTGTGGAGAACAAACCAGGAAACTTGCTTAACTCTCCCCAGCTCTCTGTAACAATGGACCATAAATAGGTCAGACATTTCTTGGGAACCAGGGAAGATGAGTATTGGAAAATGCCACAAATTATGTTTAAAGAACATTAAAGTGGTGACAGACCAGTAAATGCTGGGAAATTCGAAGATACAACCAGAAGCTGCCTGTGTAGCTCACGCTAGAATGGGGGTGAGGGGAACAAGGCACATTCTGATGTAGTAAGACTAACATGTTAACCTTTGCTATTAAAATCCTTGGCTGTTTTTACAAATATTTTCCCTCTAGAAATGTCATGAAACTTTTCCCATCTTGCTAGTTCACCCAGTTAACTAGCACCACTTATGGAGGGGATTTATCTCAGCTGTGTTTGGCTGCCTACAGTTAAGCATCTATTCTAAAGTTGTCATCTAGGGTCATTGGAGAAAGGTAGATGCTTCTAGTAAGCAGCTCATCCCAACATGAGAGGTGTCTAAAGCACTGGAAATAAATTGCTATTTGGCAGTGCTTTCTGCCTCCTGACTATTGAGGGCATATAGAGAGTTTGCCATGACTTTTAAGCTCAGTCAACCCAACTGTAAGGTAATTCAAGTGAAAGCAATTGTGGACGTTTGGTTGTTGGTACTTTGGTTTTTATTTTGTTTTGCTTTTTACCAAGTTGATAGAGTGAGTAATTCAGAAAAAAAGACAGGTTTCTTTTAAAAATAAATAAGTTTCTAAATCACATGATTTCAAAGCAGAGCCTCAAAACGTGTTCTTTGGAGCTCACAAACAAGAAGGCATCAATTCCTACATGATCATTTCTGAAATGCCATATGACTTATGATTTGTGTGGATCTGAATAACTTTTGGAGCATTTGATGCTGACAGTTTTGGTTTTAATCTTCAACTTGATGCAATTTTAATTTTCTTATTTTATATATGGAGAACTTCCCACTGTATATGACATTTCCCTCAGTAACACAGATGGCTCTGTGGCTACTCTCCTGTCCTTTTTTAGTCCTAAACAGAGAACTGGTTAAAAATCTGAAATTCTGGTAAGAATTTACTATGATTTTGACATAATCGGTTCCTAGTAAAAATAAGATTAGCTATTTATTAAGGGAAAAAAGGGCATATTGAAATGATTCAAACAACAGCACAGAGCAGTTTACTCTCTGCACAGGGTGCCCATGGCTTTGCTTACTGTCAAGGCTGGTTATGGTCTTGGTCTTGTTTGCCTCTCTGGAAATGTGTTAATGTGCCGCAGTCAGTTGGAGAACGCTTATTCATGTGCCAGAGCTGTATCTTTATTGCTGGACACTATCATGGCAGCTTTTCTGCATACCCCTTTTCTTTATTCTTGTCTGAGGGAGCATAATGAGTGAGGACATTTCAGTGATGGGGAGTACAATGCTGTAGTTTCTGAGTGCAGCAGAGGCTTGAGCTAACCTGCCATGAATTAAAAAACTCCTAGATGGCTCTTATATTAATTTCAGGGACTATGTTTTAAATGCCGTCCAGAATCCTGACTGAGCAAAAATGGTCTAGAGCCTGGAAAGTGCAGCACTGTCCCACCCCAACCTTATGTGTTAAGATGGTCAGGATTCCCAGCCCTAATACCAATAAAGTTAAGTTTGTCTACTTCTTAATATGTAAATTCACATCAGATGTGTGTCAGTCATTGCAATGAAGGCAGACTGGAAGTGTTGGTTACATGGTTATATTTGATATATCTCTTGAGCGTTCTGATCATTTGTAAGGAAAGATACACCATCCTTCAGAAGCCAGATTTTGCATTTCTGCAATAATCCGTTATACCAGAAAATGAATAGAAAACTCAGCAGCATGTGGTGCTTTTGAAGGGTATGGATGCCAGCTGGGGACCAGTGCATTTAAAAGCCTGTCTGGGCTTGGGCTGCGCAGTGAATCTCAGCCTGGGCTTGAGCTGTGCCATGTTCACACACGTGTGTATCATCAATTGGATTTGTTGGACACTGCTATGACCCCATTGTTCACCTGAGCAAACATAGGCATCCTGCTGCTGAAAACTAAAATTATTGCATTAAACCAGGGCTAATGCTTGTACTAGGAAGCAAGTGCCTGCCATGTATGAAAACAGAAATAATGTTGTTATGGCTGAGGAGGAGAACGCTTGTAAATATTGTAGTAACTGGCTTTTGTGTGGATTACATCCAGATTGTATTCAAACATTGACAGGTTAATTACATGTTTCAAAGATTGTTTACTGTGATCTGAGGGGAAAGTGTTATTAAAGAAGTGTTCAACATCTAACAGTGATTTTTTTCCCTTTCTACTCCCTTCTCTATTTTCCTCCAGCTGATTACTCCTCATGCTATCCGTGTACAGACGCCTCCCCGACATATCCCAGGGGTTGTAGAAGTCACATTGTCCTACAAGTCTAAGCAGTTTTGCAAGGGAACGCCTGGAAGATTCATTTACACAGGTAAGGATGCTTTAGTACTAGATATAATGTGGAGAAACAGGGCAGGCAATATATCACACTTACTCGGGCTTCTGGTTTTGTCATTAAAAACTGGTACTGTATTTTATTATTTTGGCTGAGCACGTCATGGGAGATACCAATTTAAGGTCGGATTTCAGAAATGGATGACCATAGAGATGAATCTGAAAATATACCAGTGTGGGATTTTTATTTGCTTGTTTGTCCTCGCAGTGGGACATCTCTTTACCCAGGAAGGGGGAGGAAAGAGAGAAACATACTCCACTACTCAAACAAACAGAAGAAGAGTACAAGCTTAAAGAGCCAGACATACTAGCACAATCACAAACCTGCCTTCCAAGAATCTTCTTGCTAAATATCTCCATCTCATGTTGTCTGGCGAGTGTTGCAAGTGTTCAAAGCAGCAACCTGTTTACCTGCCCATCTCACCACTACATACTTGTCTCTGACTTCCAGGGAGGCTAAGTAGCTTTCACCCCAGCTGATGCTGCATAGTCACTTGCAGTATATTTTGGGGTTGCATCTGACACTGAGGCAATGAAATCCAGTGGTTTGGTCTGAAGAGTTATTGAAAAAACCCACATGAGGGCATTGCAGGTGCTGTCAATGTTAAACCACTCTCAGCAGTGGTAAGAATGGTCTGGGAAAAAAGTCAAGTAGCAGCCTAACTTTTTAAAATGAATGTGTGTCAGTGATTCCTTGGAAGGTATGCATGCTACAAGAATTAATGGTTTGGTCCAGGTTTTGGTGTGCTTGTCCTTTTATGTGCTTGTTTTTTCACATATGGAGACAGGACTGACTATTTCTGTAACCATTTGCCTGAACTGTGGTTCAGCTCAATCCAGTGCAATTCCTTTCCCCATTCTTGATTACCCCTGGAATTTTAAGAATAAGATATATGATAAATACTTGTGGTTATGAGGCATTCTGAATTACAGTGGGCACATATTTTGCTCCAACTGTGAATGTACACACAGGGACTCGAGGCAGACGAGAGACTTCTGGGCTCCAGCTGGGTAGCAAGGATCTCATTTGATTTTTCTTAACACTGAGAAAGTTGAACAAAGGTGCCTTATAAAGCTTTGTTGTCTCTTACAAATACCTCTCCCCCAGTTGGGATTATATACTGGGTTCCTTTAAACTGGGTTTCACATATCACCTCTCTGGCTGGGCAGCAGGCGTTTGTGGAGGCTGTGTGCATTTATTGTGAGTATTATGATTTCAACAATGTGTGGAAAATTCATATATTGGACAATAATGCATCATATCAAGGAAGATATTTAGGGTTTGAATGTGTTGGGACAAAAGAAAAAGCAAAAACAAAGGGTCAGATTGTCAGCTGATGCAAGTTGCCAGTGTGTACCACATGAGAGTGTCAGCCAGAGCTCTGAGCAGGGTGACCACGAATCTTTTCCCTTCTCACTTTCTTACTCACAGTAAGTTGTACTGTCCTGCTTGTTTTCAAGCCACCAGTGTGGCTGCATCTTGGGCTGGTGAAATGGCTAGTATGCACGTAGAAGAATAATGGGAAGAAACCCATGCCCACTGACTTTGAAAAGACATTTTTTGGGACTTTGTTTTGTGATTTAAATGTGAAAATGGCTTGGGCCCATTTTAGTTTTGCTTTTCAGATCATCATTAATTAGCTTTTCCAGTGAAAAGGAGAGCAACAGTTTAGCCTGTCTGCCCAGAAGCAGATGGCTGAATGTGGAAATAAGGTGTCCCAGTAGGGAGAGCATTTCCATATATGCCTTTCAGGTTAGTGTTTAAAACACATTATATTTTATTCAATAAATGAAAGTTATGTAATACTAAACAACAATGCTAAAATCAAAGGTGATCCAGTCCATGGACAATTCTCTTATGCAGCTTTTATGGAGTTACGGTAGATACAGAAAAGCTATTGTGACTGAAATCCTATCTCACACAATTTGCATTTTCCTTTTAAAGGCAGCCTGAACTTAAATGTGGCTTTTTAATAAAGACTAAATGAAACTAAAATAAAAACAATTAATGCATCCTGACCTTCGGAAGTGCCTTCCAGCCCTTTAAACAAAATGCAGGTTCAGTACACGCCTGCCGATTAGTTTTAGTTAATTGAAAATTATAGGATTGACCCAAGAGGAAAATTTTGTTTGCACTCCAATCACTTTTACAAATTAAGGAAAATTACCACAATTTTGTTTAGCTAAGGTTTCACACTGAGTTCACGAAATTAGCTCAGCCATCCCAACAAAGTCAGCACTTTGTTAGTGAGCACTAGAAAAAAACTAATAGTCTATGGTGTGTACAAACGAAGCATAGAAAAAGCTATGATGCTTTAGAGAACTAGGCCAAGTGTTTTTAATTAGGATTATTGGTTCATTGTAAGTTTTGAAGAACAATCAAACTAGCAGATTAGCTGTTTCTTTTAAAGCTAGAATTTCTTGCCATTCATTTTTCCCATGAGAACTTGTTTTAACTCCCACATAGCACTATTTTTTTTTCCCTATTTTTTTTTTTTTTTAACAAGGCCTGCAGGAAATGGACCAATTGGAAGTTGGGATACAGTAACATTCCCCAGCATCACTCCAGCCATGGGAGTTTTTCACAATGTTCTTCAGTGAACTCAGTGTTCTGGAACATATTACAAAACCACAGAGGCCAAATGTTTTCTCAGAGGAGTTTGGCCTCTGTTTTTGGCCGAAAACATTTCAGCATCACTTGCTGCTTATTTACCCTGCTATTAAGAACAAGAAAAGGGGAGAGGAGAAAAAGGAGAAAGAAAAAAAAAGAGCGAGTGTGTGTGAGAGGGAGAGAAAAAGACCTGGGGTTTGTGGGCGGTGCAGGAGTTGATCAAGCGTAGTTTCCTTTCTGGTGAGAATGTCCCTGCTCGTTAATGGTCCCATTTTGTGGTCAGGTCTCATTTAGAAGAAATTATTTTTAATCAGTGTTCAACAAAATATCCCCTCAAGCCACCTGGCTGTAAACTGTTTTTTTCTTACTGTTAAGTACTTAAGTTCTCAGAAGAAAATACCCAGTGACCCATTAATTTTAGCCTCTTTTTTTTTCCCCGTTTAACTGCAAATAACTTAGTAACATGATCTCTAAGTAGTCCATGTGCCATCTAGGAATCAAGGTCACATATAGACAGAGAAATCCTGGCTTTTGTAAGTATTTTTGAAAGAAATAAACCACTGCCAACGTTGTGCTTACAAGAAAACGTAAGGTTTTAGTTTTCCATCTGCAAAGCAAGCCATTAGCATGAGCTTATGGAGCAATTATTTCTTGGTTTTTAAGCTTTGACATTCCTGAGAGAACATTTAGATATACAGACGTCTGAACACATCTTGCATGTGTGTTAATTTTAGAATAATATTAAAAGTTCATATTACATACATAAATACTCAAACATGCTTGTCAGTAGTTCCCTGTGGCACCATTCATCTATAAGTCTCTTCTGGTACTGAAGAGCAATAAGTGAATTAAGCTTCATGTCACAACTTAGGAGTTGGGTAGGTATCACTACCATTATTTTAGGACTGGAGAAACTGAAATAAAGGAAGGAGCCCTTAGGGATACAAATCCATAGGTAGTTTCCTAAGGTGACTGGTTGAGTTAAATAAGGGATGAGATCTGGCAAGAAACTGTGGTACTTGGACAAGTCTTTGAGATTTTTTTTATTTTTTTTTTAATTTTTGAAAAATGGATGCATCATGGACAGCATGACTTTCACAGATGGATTTTTCTGTAGTACTATACTGCAAGATTGGAGTGGGACTGCATGAATGTAAGTGAAGGGAGAATTTATCTCCCTGCATATTGGAAAGGACATATGGAAGGTCCATAAAAATGCATTATGCTGTGTCTTCTGCCACCTGCTCAGTTTAAGGTTTTGTGCTTTTGTTCCCAAACTTAAGAGCAAAGGACTACATAGGGGCCAAAAGTATATGGCTTTGTCACTAAGGTTATGTATACCATATAGGGTTAATTTAGATTCTTGGTGGAGCACTACCCCAAATACTGTTCCTTTTTTAATATACTTTTTTTTGCTTCCTTTATTTTTGAAAAGTGGTTGCATGGTTAGATACAGGTTAGAATTTAGGGACTATTTTCATTTGCATTAGTCTTACAGGGGGCTAGGGGCTAAACTGTTTGTGTCAGTGGCAAGTCATCATCCCTCCCCCAGTTCATTTGGGGTTTATTATAAGCTATGGGCTATAGTATGTCTCTAAAAGTGCTACTAACAGGAACGAGTGGATGTAGGGTCAGCATAGACACATAGGGCTTGCTGTGCAGTGTGAATAACCCAGACACTGAGTGCTGAGCCTCCAGGATAATTGTGATGAAGGCCAAGTAGGTCAGAGTGGAGCACTGCTGAGACTGACCAGTGTTTGCATTACGCTTTTGAGCTGTTGTGTGTGGGGTGATGTAGAAATGCTAGCGTTAGGAAGGTCAGGATATTCACAGAACTTCTGGGAGACTGCCTCTTTCTCTGAAATGTCATAGTGAAAACTTTTCACTCCCCCAGTTGTACAAAGAAGAAATAGCCTCATGTGGAAAAATCCCTGCTCCATCCTCATTTCACCTTTAATTTACTTCTGAAAACATTTGAGCTTATGTACAAACAGCAAGACCCTTACAGATCACAGATCATTAGTATTTTCAAAACCCTGAGTTTTATGTGGCTTAATTTTTAGCTTTTTATCTTCTTTTTTTAATTTACAGAAGGACAGGGATTGTTGTCTTCTGAGAGTCATTCTCTCTGTGTAGTCAAATACCTCCCACAATAAAAGACCAAAAACTACCCATCGCCATTTAAAGTTTTAGTCCATGGCCAGGTTAAAGTGATGTACAGAAATCCGCCCAGCACTGGAACTGCTTAAAAGGTGAACTCTAGTCTCTAAAATTTCCAGCCTGGTAAACTTCAGTGATTCCTTTGCTAGGAAAATTTTCTGCTTTCAAGAAGGCACCAATAATTATGCAAAGTTCAAAAGATACAT